TTCTTTGTCACTTATTTTGATGCCTGAAAAGTGATTTTTAGGTCAAATGTATGACACACTACCACTGTATTTTATGTACTATATGAATATGTTATTATTTATACAAGGGTTCCCCGTATCGTCTGTGTAAAGGAACATTTACATCCATGCTATGAGGTTCGAGGCATAATTTTATTGTTTTAAGTTATTATAGAGGTTTCCTGTATATTTGCTTTTTTGATGCATTACTGGTGACATGCGTGGTTTATTTGTTAAGTAGTCATTTGTTAAAGTAACATCCAGTTTCAACATTGTTCCTGTGGAGAAAAATGATCTATTTCATGACCACCAACTTAGTTTCTCAAGACTGTGTTGAAAAGCAAGGGCAGGCTCTATTTTGTGCTGAAATTTTATCTGAACTATAAAAAATGTTTCAGAATGCCATTTAAATATATTTAGATAAATATTTTATATAAATAATCTAATACCCAAAACAACAATCTTTCAGTCCAATGATTTTATATAAATAACCTAATACCCGAAACAACAATTTTTCCGCCCAGTGAAATAAAACTTGAATGAAGAACTATTGAGAGCAATATGGAATGATTATATATAGGAAAGTAATTATATGAGTAATAAAAAATGACATTTCTACATCTCTACTCTCTTTTCCCTCTTTCAATCAGTGCTTAAGAATACAGAGTACGGATACACATTTGTGTTGTTCTACAATGTAAGTAGTTCTTTCTTCCATCTTCACAGCAAAGATCTCAAAACCAAAGTTGCTTTTTGAAAAAACATGTTTTACATAAACGTATCATTCAAAGGTACTCACGGTCTTCATCTGTCTGCACTATGAGTTCTTGGCTTTCCTTCCGGCCCTCTGGGTTCATGAGGATCAGTTTCACACTGACATTGGTGTATGGTGACAGGTTAGTGATTGTGTGTTGAGGGTGTGAGTTTTCTGTATCCCAGCTTACTTCTTCTCGCACTTGTTCTTGTCCTCCAACTTGGTAACAGTAGTGGACAGTGAGATTATAACTGTGGCAACGAGTTACATTATATCCAAATGGCTCCCAGCGGATAGTGATTTGCCGAGATTTGACCTCTACTACTTCCAGTTTCCTTGGGCCTCGCATGGGATCTATTTAGAAAAGAAGATAAAAGAAAACATGAGAAAGAAGAAAGATAAAGGCTCAGGTCAATCCCAAAGGTCACAGATATTCCCAGTTGTCCCCAACACCTGGTCTCCTCTTCTTCCTGGATAATAAATCCCTAAATCTTGGCTAGGCATTTGGCAACCCAGAATAAAGATGAAAGTTTCCATTATTTTCTGCAGATAGATGTGGCCATGTGCCTAAGTTCTGAAGAATGGTATATAAGATGAAATGTCCAAAATAGTTTCTGAGAGGTGTTCTTACAAGGCAGGGGCTCACCATGTTTGGTCCTTCTTCTTTCCTATTAGCTG